ACATTCCAGGTCAGGTTGGACGGGGCTCTGAGCAACCTGATCTAATTGAAGATGTCCCTGCCCACGGCAGGGGGGTTGGACTAGATGACCTTTAGAGGTCCCTTCCAACCCAAACTATTGAATGATTCTATGATTCAGTTTTCTTCCTGTGCTTGCAATGAGTGCTCATTTTACTTTGTCATTTTAAAGCTCTCCATGCTGTTTTATTTTTGAATAACTTCTTCTCTTAATTAAAAAAGTTATATAATCAGGACAATAAGCTGTTCACTGGGGTGTCCTAATTAAGAGGATTTTACTGCTTTTCCGATTTGTATTACTAATAATGTGTATTGAATGGTGTTTGAATACTTCACAAATAAATAATGTTTCTGTTATTTCTACAGTCATTGAAAAAATAGGGCATCCAGATAGGAAGGTGTGTGATGTGAGTATTAGACCATTTGTAAATACAAATAAAGCCCGGCAATTAGGTTAACAGCTGATTATCCCAATGAATGTAATAAATCCATAAAATGTTACAGGAAATCAGACTATGTCTGGAAGTGCAGCTTAAAAAGCCACAAAAAAATCATGTGTAAGTATAAGCCACCTTTTGGTGTGGTCAGTGGTTTAGGTTGGAACAATGCTGGGTGGAAGTTGTTGCAGGTGGAAGAGGCCCATCATTTTTCCTACAAGAGATAGAAGCTGTTAGACCAAAGACAGTGTAGGGAATCGAGGTCTGTCATCTTGCTTATTGTTACATTTAATCATTAGTTTGTGTGAGATATTCCTCTCTGTGGAGTTATGTTCATGCCAAAATTTTTAGTTAGATGATTTATTTTAAAATCAGGTTCAGCCATCTGGAGGGACTGAGACCTTAGGATAGGTACGACAGGTTGTTGCAGTACAGCTGCATGCTATAGTGCTAGCTGCGCTGAAGTGACAAGATGTAGGCTGGACTGTGTTGGCTGAATGAAGTAGACTCCCAGTTGCATCATTTCAGAGAGAGATATGTAAGCAATAAATGTCTAGGACTAAACATCTGACTTTCTCAGAATAATTTGTATGGCAGGTCACAAATGACCAGTTGGAAAATAACAGTTTGTTCCTTTAAATATGTAGTATGAAGTCTTCTGAGAGTAACAGATCACTTACATATTTTCTGCTATACCTTCTCTGCCTCAGGAAATCCTCTTTATTCCTTATAGCAGTTTCCTTAAGATTTATTCAAACTTTTTTTTAGTATTTTTACGAGTCAGCCTCTGAGCCTTTTCTCATAGCTATCTCTATCCTTCTAACAGAGAAACTCAGTGCTGAAACCGTGTTGCCTTTTAGACGGTGTAAGGTGTTCTCAGGTAATGTTAGACAATCTGTTCAGGAGTGATTGTTGGCCCTTCTAGCTCAAGAAAAGAAAAACAACTTTCATAAATTGAACCTCAATCTGCCAACATTTTAACAAAAAGTAGTTGTACCTACCAAGTTAATTGTATTGCTTTCCAAATCCTTTTACAAGTTTTCAAATACACAGTTTTACACAATGACATTTTCTTGGGAACTAGAAGATGATTAGTTTAATCAAATGTAGAAAAGGGATGCTTCCAGCAATGCTGATTAAGGGGAAGAGGAGATGATGAGTGTTCTGTTGTATATAACATTTCTGGTTTGAAAAGTTTGTGAAAATGGTCATGCTAAAAATGGAGAACCACATTTTCAGTTGGGATAAGTTATATTGGCTCTGTTAAATTCAGTAGAATTATGCTGATTGCACAAACTAAGAGCCTGGCCCTGAAAGAGCTGACTTCTCCATGACTTGCAGCGTGGCTCTGGAAAGCCAGTAGTCTCTTCTTAGATTTGGTTACCTGCTTCTACATCTAGGAGGTAACACTTTGTCGTACACTCACAATTTTGTGTTACTGCAAGGCTGTAGTTGTTGGGAAAGGTACAAACACAGTCAGAAAGCCAGACAGGCGGATTTGCAAGGTGAGTTCTTAGATTTGAAGGAAATAAATGAGTTAAATTTTATGTAATTAAATGGAAATAGCATGGTTTTTATTTGGGGTGGTGGGAGGAGAGAAAGAAGGGAGGCAGGGGAGAGAAGCTTCCTGAAGAATGTCCTAATTTTGGAGACAACAGTCCGTTACATTTCTGTTATTTAACAGAGTTGCCAGGTCACCAGATTCAGGGTTCAGGAAGCATTATATCTCCTTCAGCTAGCGGTAATGGGGATTTAGGCAAATACACTAGGATCCTAACAGTTCTGGGAAGAGCTGTGTAAGAACTGTGTGGAATATGGGCAATTTTTTTCATGACAGGACTTGCATTGCATTTTAATTTTATTACAGGAATCTTATTTTATTCGTAAAAGCATAATTGTTTTAACATGGCTCTTTTAGCGGTGTTTGCAGTGATTTCTTTTGCGTCATGGTAATTGTCCTAGCAATGAAAAGATTTTCAAATACTTACAGTACACAGCCAAGCAATATGTAATTGAATGCAACTGTCATTGAAACAGACTGTTTTTCTGACCTGTTGTTTCAATCTGAAGATGATGTTTATTTACCACCTTCATTATTGCAGCATTAGCATATAGAGAAGCTGTGCCATATCATCATGTACTTTCCTAACAGATGGCCACTAACTTCTTGAAGGCTTTTTTGTACTTGCTTAAAATATCCCATATTGGCACAAAGTTTCTTTCCTCAGTGTGAAGTATGATTGACTGGTTGAAATAGATTAATCTGCCTCTTGTCTGGTCTTTGAGCTTGTTTCCTACTGCAGCAACCCAGGTTTTGACTCTAATTTTGCACAATGATCAAAGCCACTTTTGCTAATAACATGGTGTGGAAAGTTCCATTTGGTCGCATAATCTCTGAACAAATAGTTCAGGTTGTAACTGAAGACCACATTTCTGCCAGAAAAGGTGGAAAAACATCCTTTGTACCTGCTCCACTATAATTGTCCTGTACAGACATTCCAGCCTCAGGATTTAAATATTGCTTTCTTTCCTCTCTGAGGCTGTGAGAATTTCTCTAGTCATCTCTGTGCAAAACTGAGGCCCCCTTTCTGTTTGTTTGCTAACTGCCTGGCTGTTGCTTTAAGTTGTGTTTTGTGCTTTAATGCTGAATGTACAGGTGAGGAACTCATCACTGAAGTATTTATGAGGTCCACATCATTCTTTATTTTTGCATGTGAGCTCACTATTCAATGCTTATCTTTCCCAGTGAGGTCTGTTTTTTTACCACTATATATATATGCATGATGTGCAAAGAGGAAAATACATAGTTGAGATCAGTATTGAATGGGTATAATTCCAGGCATGCAGATTTTCTTAAATGCTCCAGATAAGATAAAAATCCACATTTATTGGTGCTGGAATTAAAAATCGCAAAAAGAGACAAAAAGGAAGGTCTTTTTCTATGTAATTCAGTGTTTTGTTATCCAGAAGTATAAGCATATTTTTAGTTCTGATTGCCATTGATGTTTTAATTGGCATTGATTTGCCTCTCTCAGCTTTGGTAAAGGATATATTGGGATTTTAAAATGCCAGCCTTTATTTGGTTTCTGTGTCCATGTTTTATCGAATCCTAGCATGAAGCTTTGGTCCATTGTCTTATCTTTTGGTTATTATGCTCTTCTTTGAGCCTTGGGGAACTGTTTTTTCCCAATTTTAGTTAGCTTACCATGGCCCTAGAACAAGTAACTTAATCTCAAGTTGTGCTGTTTAAATACATACTCCTTCATGGTTCTAAGTAACACTTTGGATGGATTTAGGTGACTCCTTATGCCTTATTCACTCTTTCTGAAGAGAAGTTCACCACTCACATCTAGAAGGTAATAGTATAATCTGAATGGGTAACACAGACCATGCAGATTATATATAACATTACTACAATAAAAATTCTTTAGTCTATAAAAGTGTATACAATATGCTTTCTGCTATGCTGCAATTTTCTTAATGGCTTTGGAAGCAATCCATATTGGTTTTTATTTTCATAATGATTTTCTGATGCAGTTTCAATCATATGTGAATTCTTTTGGCAGCTGTGGTTCTTGCTTATTTTTTGCTACTTTTGTTCATCTATTGTTTGTGGTTCCTTTCTACTGTCTGCTTGTTCTTAATGTCGCCTTTCAGAAGCTGAAATTACCAACTGGGCATTCAGTTTCCACGTCTTGTTCCTGCCTACTTCCGACTCATCTATCAACTTTTCAGACCAACGAGCGTTTCCTTTGTGTTTTGGTCCTTTTTTGCAGAGGCAGTGCTTGACTCTTTCTTTACACTTGTGCCGTATTTTCTTTCTCTTAGAAGTAAGAGAATGATTATTCTATTGGGCCTGATTAAGTAAAATGCACTGAAGACTTATTTCCCTATGTTAATATTAAAAGTTTTGTTAAAACTATAGTTAGTATAATAAAATAACATCTAAAGCCACATTAATACTAGACAGCATTTAAAATCTGAGCACCAAATGGCAATTACTTTCTCAGTCATTTTAAATTTTCATCTTCGGAAAGAAACCAAGTATCAAAACTCTCATATAAATAAAAATATAGAAGTACTTGGAAAAGTTAGAAGGATGTTAAGAGTCATAATAACACTTTTTGGAAACTTACCTATATGAAGGAAAGCCACATTAATACTAGACAGCATTTAAAATCTGAGCACCAAATGGCAATTACTTTCTCAGTCATTTTAAATTTTCATCTTCGGAAAGAAACCAAGTATCAAAACTCTCATATAAATAAAAATATAGAAGTACTTGGAAAAGTTAGAAGGATGTTAAGAGTCATAATAACACTTTTTGGAAACTTACCTATATGAAGGACTGCTGTGGTTTAACTGTACCAGCTACTAGGAAGGAAACTAACTCTATCCCTGCCAAAACCAGGACAATGTATGATTAGATATTTGTTTCAGTAAGTTAAGTGAGCATTTTGCTAATTTTCTTTTTCCAATTTAATTGTCCCTGAATGTAAACAATTATTAGATTCATTACTCTCCCTTTGGAAAGGGAATCTTGGCCTAGGAAGACTTGATCAGGAATAGTTTCTAAGCATATGTATTCAAATGCAACTATTTCTAAGTGATTTTATGCCTCTAAAGATTCAGTTCTTCAGTCACGAAAATGAACTATTTTTCCTAAACTGGCATCACTTCATTGTGTAAAGCTAAGTGTATTTGTAATATTTTTATATTTTGAATTTTCAAATGTACTCTTCAGGTGGCACTTTTTGAATCTTAAGTATAAGATGATATGCATCACAGAAATATGTTCTATATGATGAGAGACAGAATGTATGTTGCTATATTTCTTTGTTTCTGGAGAACCAGTTGTGGCCACAGGGCTAAATATCAGTTTATCCTGCCTATAGAGTTCATTGACAAAACAGGATTGTGAAATGGAGAAAGTGTGAAAGAGAGAAAGGTATGAGTGCATCACAGTAAAAAGGAGGTCTAGGAAGAAACAGATGTAGTTAACAACAGAAGAGTTAATAATTGAGCAAGTAGTTTTGGCCCTCCTTTGACAAAACACCTATTTCTCATTGCAGGCTTAAGCTTAATTTTGTTGTTGGACAAATCTGGGCCCTAGCTTTTGTAAGAAAAGACTAGGACACGTTTTCAGTGTTCTGGAAAACAAGGTCAAACTAGGTTTTTGCCTGGCTATGTTAGCAGAACAACAAGGAGACATCAAATATAAAATACTTAATTCTTAACTATAACAAAACCTTCTGGGAATTGTTGTTTCTCAGGTACCTTTAATTATTTACCCTGTTTCTTGGAATTCCTAGTTATTTGCCATTCTAGGCGAGTCTCTCTAGAAAAGTGATCACAAAATGAGCTTACTATATTCTTTCCATCTTGTTGCTAAGTAGGCCATTCTATTTCTAGAAAGGACAACATAAACCCAAAGAAAAACAATTAATATAGAAGAGCTTGAAAGAAATGAATCCTGGCAGTTGCTTCTAATGTCTTTAATAAAATAGATCTTTCATGTTTCAATGGCTTACGAGTCCTAATCATGGTGATTTTTTTTAATCTAATAACTGTGAACAGCTTGTGATTCACCATTATAAAACTAATGTCTCCCAGCAATAACATCATGACTGCAGACTTAGTCTAAGGTGGGAATCCTGCCAAAAACAATTACACTTCCTGCATTATCCACTGGATCACCATTATGTGCTTGGAAATACCATCCCTTCTTTTCCCTCCTGCTCCTGAGAGACCAAATGCCCCAGAACAATTGCAAGCATTTGTCTCGAGACAAGGTCTAAATGCTTATTTTTAGCAAGTTTTTATTACATGGCATAGGTGCCCTCCCACTTATCTTTAGAAGAATTTCACACACAAAAGCACAGCACTGAGGTTCTTCAGTGTACAACTGTGACACTGATCACTGCTGATGAAAATTTAGTTTTACCTGGATTAAAGTTGATCCTGATTTTCTGGCTGACCCACATAGCTTAATATTTGCTAATATGTGTTACGTCCTTAATTTCAAGATCTGTGTTAGAAAGAGTTTTGATCTCACATCCAGGGGGCCCTGGTTGAATTAAATGAGAATTTATATCTGTATGGCAGGCTTCTTAATAATTTTAAAAATATAAAATGTTTCTGCTTTTATCTTAGTATTTGTCAGGATTGAGTACACGTGTGTGTGGAATTCAGCTTTTAAGCTGCAGCTTCTGTATGTAGCTAGAACTGCAGTGACTTGCCTTACCCAGCTGGAGGTGGTGCTTTGTACTTGTCTCTCACTTTGTGCAGGAGAGGAGATCAAAATTCCAGTTTTACCCATCTTCCCCTGAAGATGACACATACATGTAAGGACTGATGATTTACCAGGTGTAAAGATTACTAAATGGAGAGCCGTTTGCTGTATTAATCCCAGAGAACTGTGTTTGGTCAATAGGCAGTAAGTAACTAGTGAAGAGCGGTAGTATGAGTTTGTGCCATGTCAGGGAGGATTCAGTTTGAAAGAACAGCAGTTTTCTTCTGAAAAGTAGACTGGTTGCACGTTTGTATGAAGGGGTATTAGAACTCCTTCACACCTTTGAGTGCAGGCCAGCAGTATTAACAGGTCTGTCCTGTGGGTGGAAGGTGGAATAACAACTTTTGCCCTGTCGTGGGTTCATCCCAGCCAGCAGCCAAGCACCCACACAGCTGCTCACCCACTCCACTCTACCCCCAGTGGACAGCGGAGAGACTAGGAAGAGCAAAAGTGAGAAAACTTGTGGGTCAAGATAAAGACAGTTTAATAAGCGAAGGAAAGAGGGGAGAAAAAAACCCACCCAACTGATGCAAAGGCAATCACTCACCCCCTCCTACAAGCAAACTGATGCCCAGCCAGTCTCCAAGCAACAGCCACCTTGGAAGTCAGAGGCCCCCACCCTCCTCTTCCTCCACCCCAGTTTAATGGCTGAGCATGACGTTACATGGCACAGAATATCCCTTTGTCCAATTTGGGTCAGCTGGCCTGGCTGTGTCCCCTCCCAGCTTCTTGTCCACCCCAAGCCTACTCGCTGGGATGGGCAGAGGGAAAAAGAGAAAGCCTTGATGCTGTGCTTGCACTGTGGAGCAATAGCTAAAACATTGGTGTGTTAGTAATGCTGTTCTGGCCACGAATTCAAAACACGGCACCATGTGGGCTGCTATGTGGAAAGTGAACGCCATCCTAGCCAGACCCCGTACATGCCCACAGTTCATGGTTGAAGCCTAGCATAAGTAATCTGGGCTCTTTTTATTCGCTATCACAAATAATTGTGGTGATTTTTTTGGGTTTGTTTTTTTTTTTCTTTTTCCAAGTGTAGGGTTTTTTTTTTTAAAATGGAAGTTGAGATCTATTTAGTTACATGAGTTCAGGAGCCAGGACAGACCCTTAACTAAAACTTCCCAACAGCATGGGCAGATTGAACTTCCATTACCCCAAAGATGTTTAGCCGAGGCCTGACAGGTCCAGATCTCTCCAGTGTCAGGGAGGAGAGGGAAGGATGGGGGAGGAATTGAGACAGAGACTGGAGTACAGTGCTCCAAAGGGCCAGGCTTTTTTCTATTAGGGGTGGCAGTGGTGCTTCTGAGAAGGCAGCACCTATGGTTTTCAAATTTTCTGGTGCAGGTAGCTGGCCCTGGTTGTTGGCTGATGTAGGCAGCGTTATTTCATCTATGCCTAAAACCATTGACTGGTGATTGAAGAAAAGCAGTAAGTGTGAAAGGAGATGTGATAGCATCCTAGGAATTAGAAATACTGGCATAAAACTTGTTTATTTTTCATGATCCTGGGATGACACTGTTGTTGTCTCTGTCACCTTACATGCAGCATTAAAATGGTTTAATACAGAAGATCACAGTAGTGTGCCAGTAACAGTCTTCTGCGGAATTCTTGCCCATGGATCCAAATGTAAATTGGTGCTTTATTTTAAGGTGCATTTTTTGAAGGTGGATTATGAGACATTAACACCTTTATTGTAGGAAGTTCAGAAAGTATTTAGCCTTCGCTGCAGATGGGAAACAATTGTACATGAGTGTGTAGGGAGGTAGTGAGTTGGTTTTGTCTCAGCAAGAGCATAGTGATTTGGAATATAACAAGGAGTTCCAGTAACTTAAACAGAAAAGCTATTCAGAAAATTCACAGCCTTTTTCAGAAACCTTTGTTCAACATGAGCAGTTATACCCTGAATACACTTGAGATAAATATTGGAACTTTACATAATGATTTGCAGTTGGAACGGAAGAGGTCTGACCATCTTGTACCCTAGCCCTGGAAAACCTGCAGCATCCTTTTGTAAAGGAGTATTACTCATCAAGTTTTTTAATCACTTGTATTCTCTCACTTGAGGTGAAATTCTGACCTACTTAAAGTTAATAGGTGATAGCTGTTGAAACTGGCAGGCTCAAAATTTCACCCATACTGTTTAGGTGCTTTTAATTGGAGTATAGAAATAATCCTAATTATTGGAGGTATGAGAGGTGACTGTGGTAGCAAAGATAGGTAGGCAAAGCCATGAAAAGAGAATAGCAATGAATAATAATAGGCATAAAGGGATGTTATTTTTTAAAAAAATTAAAGATGCGATAACTTTAAAAGAGAAAATATTGTATTAATTCAAATCTGAGAAATTTTAAAAATAAGTCAACTTATTTTTGCCCTTATGTGAATTCTATTCAAGCATTAGTGCACTAAATAGCTGGGCAAAATTAGCTTCAATTACACTGTGATTTATATCTATAAGCAGGTCAGGTGTAGCAGGGATTGGAATCAGGCTGACTTGATGTTTTCTCTAGAAGGATGTCTCTTGTTCAAGGTGACTATGTGGAAACCAAAGAATGCATAGGTGATAAATGAGCATTAATCAGAGATGAACATTTTCTTACTGTACCCTGGTTTTAGAACTTAGGCACTAGTATAGCCTGCAGCGTCAAAGAGAATAACCCAGAACTAGCTCTTCTACACAGGCTGCGGCGGTCAGTAACATTCATCAGTTGCCTTGAATTGTCTCCAGTGATAAAAAGTGAATAATCAGCATATTATTTACACCTATGAGGTTATTCTTTCTGCAGCATGACCGCAAGTGTCATCTAGAAGGACCAGGTTTTGCTGAGTCCTACAAAGCAGGGGAATTAAAATAACGCCTTGAAACGGAAGGGTTTTAAAGCAAATCAACTTCTTACTTTTCTGCTGTCAATAGATTTGCTTCTAGTTTTGGTTTTCTATTTCCCCAAATGGAAAGTTATTTAAGGTATTTTGGAAAAACCTCAGTGAGTCTTGACCTCAGAGCCAATTTATTTTTAACATGACAAAGTTACCTATTTCCATAATAGTATGTGTGGTCATAATGACTCATTTTATAAATTACAGCTGCCATTGATGTTTGCATCACTATTCTTTACAGTATAAATTGAATTTAAGAATAACTTGGTGAGTTTTATTTCTAAATTAATTGTCTAGAAGTGTGAACCACATCTTTTTTGTTGTTGTTGTTTGTAGCGGAAGCTTTACATTACTGATTAATAATACTAACAAATAATAATCTCTGTAGCAGAGTATTACTGTTTTTTCCTGGTATTTCTGTGATCAGACAATTTCATTATTTCTCATAAATATATACATGATAGAGTTTTCAATAAATTTTTTTGAAAAAATTCTCCCACCTAATTGTTTTTCTTTCTCCCTCCTAGTCTGCTCCCAGTTTTCAAGAGGAGTCTTTGCTATTTTTGGATTCTATGACAAGAAGTCTGTAAATACCATAACATCGTTCTGTGGGACTCTTCATGTCTCCTTCATAACTCCCAGCTTCCCAACAGATGGAACACATCCCTTTGTCATTCAGATGAGACCTGACCTCAAGGGAGCTCTTCTTAGCTTGATCGAGTACTATCAGTGGACCAAGTTTGCATATTTGTATGACAGCGACAGAGGTAAGATGTGGTACTTTTTATCTGCATGCTGTTTGCTAGATGTATCTCACTGAAATGCTGGATTAGTATTAGAAAAGTAAACGAGGAAAGGAATATTTACCTGCAGCAAGTGTAAGTGTAAGCTTAAATTTAGAAATGAGCTTTTGGGACAGAAACAAAAATGTTTAAATGAGAATGAAATTATTACAGTATGTATTACTAGAATTGCAAGCATGTGCTGATAAGCAATGTGAGATTAATCACATGTTGAAAACAGTTCCTATGAAAAGTTTTTTCTTTTTTTTGAAGAATCATCTAAGGAAAAAAAAACCACCTGAGCATGAAGGGCAATCTACTACCACAGATTTGCACTCCACACATGAAAAATTGATAGCTGGGCACCAAGCAAGCAAGAATCTTGGATGCAGTCCCTGCTTCTTTGGAGACTGCTTTTGATAAATACTCAAGTTCCTTTCCTCTGTTGAGCTTAGATTTTTTGTTGTTGTTCTTGATAAACCCAAATCCACTGCTTGTGAGCAATTTACTCCACAGTACAGCCTTCTCAAGTCCTATGCCCTTTTATGGCTGTACTAATAATAATATAACAGTTTATGAACTGGGAAAAATCACTTGCAAATTGTGGTATATTAATTAGTTTTCTCAGAAGCAGCAGCAGCATTATACAGAAGGGGGGGTTTTTTGACTGCCCTTTCTGGAATTCCATTATTGTCATTCTGTTTTCAGGTTCTCCTCACCTAGTAGTCCTTGGCTAACTTTTTTCTGTTCTTACCTTCTCCTGTTCCCTTTAAAAAGACTATTTTGTGGCTCACCTACATGTTCATTGGTCAGAGTTTAATATTAAGTGCACATTAAATGGTAAGATGCCACTAGATTTAAAGGATGGTTATACCACACCATGGTTTGTTGAGTTATGGGGTGACATTAGATTCTCTGCGTTCTGATGCTATTTTATACATTATGTTGTTCAGAAGCTGAAGGGATGTCCTCAAGACAGTTCTTTATCACTGTTGTAAGCACTAAAGTTAGAAAAACTAACACTGGTATGTAGCCTCCAACAGCCTCCCCAAAGTTTTGTGGGACAATGAACCCTAAGCCCATTTCTCTGGCAGATCCTTTTCAAATTCACATTAGAATCAGAAACAGCCACTGCCACAGATACAAAACTACTTGCTTAGCCAATACTCTGTCAATCAGCTAGCAGTGTGCAGTACATGACCTGCATGTGATTTATATTTAGGAAATACTGAAAAACACCTAGTTCTTGCGAGCTGCACTTGCTGAATCTGGCCAGGAATAACAGCATGAAATGGTTATTTGTAGTCGCCCTTTGGTTATTCCTTTTTTTTTCTTATTTGTTTGTTTTAATTGTGGCAAGGCACCCCAGTGATAACAAGCTCCAAGGCATGAAACTCCTGGAAAAGGCAGGAAACTTTATGTTGAGTAAGTCGTTGCTCCTCAGTGCTCCCACTGATTGCACAAAGTTAACCTGCAGAGTCAAGCAGTATCTAGTCAGCAACACTGACATCAAACCCTGAATACACAGGGTCCACAATTCCTCTAAACACTTTTGCATAAGTGTTAATGTAGTGACAGTGACATATAATTAAGGAATGATGTATAATTTAAAACGTTTCCACCTTCAGGAGTGAGATAAAAAAGGCAGAGACTTACTCTTCATGGAAGCTGTGAAAGCTAATAGGAATTAGTTTCATGACTTATTCCAAAAGAATCATTTATTACTACTTTTACAGCTCCTCTGCGGTTAGGGGCTGACTTGTTGAAGAGCAGGGCAATTTCATATCTCATTCACGTCTCTAAGAAGTGAGGCCATTCAGTATATGCATGTCCAAGCTATTACTGGCTTAATATGGCAGTTGCTCTCATGTAATGTGGATTAGTGTCCTTTACCCTCCTTGCCTCCTCTGTGTTGCCAGTACTAAACAGTGGGTTTTGGAAAAAGTAGTGACGTTATTAGAGGGTTCTATCTGTAACAGAATTGCTAATTTACTCAGCCTCTGTTCGGTCCTCCTTTTCAGAGCTCACTGAATTAAGAGTTTGTCTCATGATAACCAAAAGATGTTCAGGCACATGAGGTTCCCAAACAGAAGTATTCCTGCAGCTTAAAAAAAGCAACTGAAGTTGTTGGAGTTTTCTCCTCTGCAGAGCCCCACTTCCGTTCACACTCTCCAGATACTTCCATGTCCACAGGAGTATTGCTGCAAATGCTTTTTTTTTTGGTTTGTTTTTCATTCTTGGTTTTTTTGTTTGTTCTTCATTCTTTTGCAATGTGTTATTGCTATCAAAATAAACTAAACTGTATGGGGATGACAAATCTGCCACCTATAAAAAGCAAGAAATCCAGGCAGCCATTTGACGTCTCTGCAGAGAGCACCCCAAGAAAAAGGAGTCCCTAGGAAAAATGGAAGACCAGAGGAGTAAAATACAGAAACCGTTTGTAATGGATAGTGTTAACATTAAAAACCCTTATTAATTTATGCCTAACTGAGATTCTGTTTAACACAGAGGAAACATATAGACAGATTGGAGGACCTGAAATCTACTAAATGAGATCTGAAACAATGATTCAGATTATATCTGTTTCAGTTTGGGGTCTTTTTTGTGGTTTGTTTTTTAAATTATTTTAAATTACCATTTAAAACGTTATTTTTAGGTATAGACTTATTTTAGTGCTTCTTAATGTTTTAAGATACTCCTTACGTCTTTTAGTTTGCTTACATTAATTATCTTTTCCTTTTAGCAGTTCTCCACATTTATTTTTAACGTTATAAATAGTTCATACGTACCCTTGGACTGTAGTTATCTATTATTTTAAAATAACTATTCATTGCATGACATACAAAACTTCATGTCAGTCTTCTTTAAAGACGACATAGAAAACCAGAACTATTTGAGATAATAATTGAATTTATGTTTTTGGAAGCCTGCCATTTTCTGCCTTTGCTGATGGCCAGTCTTGTATTGTGCTGTATGTCATTACCATTTTCACTGATAAAGCTGAATTGCTGAACACTGACCGGTCTTAATTTAATGACGACTTTACAAACTATGAGACAAATTAATTCTTAGTGCTTTCTTTCTACGTTTATGGGCATAATCACTATTATTTCTCATGAGAGTTATACGTGAAGCTTACTTTACACACCAAGTCAGACATTTGTCTCAAAGAAATGACTCCTGGTGTTCTGTGGTTTCAGGGGAGATGAATGTGCAAAAATGTCAATTGGCTTGTGCGAAAGTCTAATTTTCTTTTTTTCTATAATACTATCTGCTATCCTCAAAATTGCTCTCTAGAATTATGTAGAATTCTCTGGAAGGAATTTAAGCATAACAATTCCTGTACTGCTAATTCCTGTACTGCTGGAAAGTGTTAAAATGGTATTTGTTGTATAGCAGAAATTCATTTCCAGCAGTAATTTTCATGTTTCTATACTCCGTTATTTAATCCTTGAAAAGGAAAAATAAAAGTCAGGTAAAATCTTCACTGATTTTACAATATATTTTAGGCAGTTGCAGCTGTACGGACATTACAGCTTCCTGGCAGGAACGTGCCAAAAAGATAAAATGGAAGCAAACTTCTGTAGACTGCTTGTAGGTGTTAGCATTGAGCCTACTTATCTGTATGGAAAAATACGTCTCGGCACATCTTCTTTCATAATCAGGGATATGACTGTAGGCAACAGAAATGATAACTCCATTAGCACAACTGCAGAACATGGGAATTTTGCCATAGAGCTCAGTGAGGTCTGGGTTTAAATACGGTACTGCTCAAGCGCTGAGAACAAAAGCAGTTCAATAGCATTTTGTAATAAGCAGCTGAACCTCTTGCCGTAATTGGATCACTTTTCTCCTAGAAGACCTCTTTCTCAGCATGTGGAATTCCAGCAGCGGATCAGTGAAACTGGCAAAATCCCGTTCTGAAGAAGGCTGAAGCAAAACCAAGAGGTTGTCCTTACAAGGTTCTACCCTGATTCCTTGCAGTGATGTAAATAGAAAATTCATGCAGTAAGAACTGATTGGGCCCACACATACCTTCATTTCTGAGTCCTAACAATGTGTGACAGGTCAAATAAGTTACAGGGAAATCTTAAATAAGTAATCTCATAAATCATGTTCTAGAAGCTTGTTATTCCTGAAGCTTTATCAGTCACATCTTCTGTTTTCTCCTGTGCTTCACTAGGCTTATCAACATTGCAAGCTGTGCTGGATTCTGCTGCTGAAAAGAAATGGCAAGTGACTGCTATCAATGTAGGAAATATTAACAATGACAGAAAAGATGAAACTTACCGTTCACTGTTTCAAGATCTAGAGGTAAAAAAGGAAAGGCGAGTGATTTTGGACTGTGAGCGCGATAAAGTCAACGACATTGTTGATCAGGTTTGCTATTCTCCATTTTTCAGTGACAGCAGTTCACTATATTCTATAAATAAATGTAATGAGTTCATTTCTCTTGATCCTATTTTTGTGATTATTATGCATCATTTGGAAATGACAGGTTTGTATTGAGGATCACATATATATCAGGCAGAAAGTGAACATACAAATCCTATAATCCCTCCCTTTGCTCAAAGGCAAGATAATTCTATCTGGATGATCCTGTATGGTTTTATATCCTGATTGTTTAAAAAAATAACAACAAAAAAAGACTCATTAAGGCTATTTCACAACCTAAGTAGGTTGTGTAGTACATATTATATGTAGTTGATACACTATTATATCTGGTGCATTATAAATAGTTATATTATGTCTAGGGATCAGTTCTCCGTACACCTAGAAAGTATTTTCTACTTCTAATACTTTTTCCAAGAACATTTTACATCTTGTGAAGGCTGCATCAGCAGCTTCTCTTTTCCATTTAACTCCCTTTGTAGTTCATGTTTCTAAGCTCTTTGTCACTTGTACTGTCCTTGGGTCTGTCTTCATTTTGTCTCCCTTAAAGTGTGTTAACCAAAAATTGGATGCTGTTTTCCATAGCTAAGGCCTCCTGAGCTTTAAGCAGAACAGAACAAAATAGTGTCTTCTATTAGAAGACACTTAGGGACATGGTTTAGTGGGTGGTGGTGTTGGGTTGACGGTTGGACTCGATGATCTTAGAGGTCTTTTCCAACCTCAGTGATTCTATGATTCTATGATTCTCTCCATCCACACATATATTATTTGCCAAAATGATTTTTTTTTTTAAATTTTCTTTTTTACAACAGCATCACAGTGCTCTGATTCAAATTACTGCCTTACCTTCAAATTCACCTCTTCAATCCTAGTGTCTAGGAAGGTCTTACTGTCTCTGTATCTTATTTCTTCTTTTCATGCATGCAGAGCACAATGGAAATTTATAAGGATAGCTCCCTGCTGGCTTGGGCTTGACCATGTGAGACTGTGCAGCATCTGTAGGGATATATCATCAGTGTAGATGTATTGGTTTGAAGCTTTTTTGAAGGGCTTGTTATGTCTTTGTTATGAAGGTTGTTACATTTTGGAGAGGCTTGGGCAATGAGTGGTCTCCTAAATGGAGTGCATTGTATTTGTCTGTTTTATTTGGAATTCATATCCACAAACTGTTTCTCTAATTTTCAAGATCAATTTGAATTTGATCCTGTTCTCCAGAGCATTTGCAACCTCCCTATCATCTGCAGTTTTTTAAAATCATAGGAGAGGCTCGGGCAATGAGCGGTCTCCTAAATGGAGTGCATTGTATTTATTTGGAATTCATATCCACAAACTGTTTCTCTAATTTTCAAGATCAATTTGAATTTGATCCTGTTCTCCAGAGCATTTGCAACCTCCCTATCATCTGCAGTTTTTTAAAATCATATTTTCTGACTTGTTATCCGTGTCAAGAAAAGTACTGAGTAGATGCTTGAGAGAAATGGTACTTATAGGTCCTCTTCAGCTGGTTCTGTGTGGCTTTTCAAATGGTTGTTCGCTTACCTTACAGTGACTTTTTGTCTTGTCCATGTTCCCTTAAGAGCTTGTAATGATGTCACACAGGACAAAAGCCTTATTAGACTCGAGATATGTCACATCAGCTGTTTCCTCATTTTATCTATTAGGCTAGCTATCATGTCAGAGAAAGGAAGGAAATTGCTTTGACATATTTTGATCTTGACAAGACTATATTGACTGTTTATCGTCTTATTATCCTATAGATTCTTTTGAAATTAAGTATGTAACATTCATTATAATCTCTTCCCTGATATGAAAGTTTGGCTGACTGTAAGTTTCTTCAGTTTCTCCTTTTACCACTTTTTAAAGACAAGAACCTTATTTACCCTTTAGTTACCACTCATTTTTACTATCTTTGTTTAGTAATAGACCTATTATTTTCTTTGGCTTCTCTTACTTTGGTTGCAGCTCTGGGATACTTTTCTTGCCCTGATTGCACTTTGATAGATTCTGCCTTGTTTTGAGTCTTAGATTTTCGCAGCTTATCCCCACAGACTTGTGCTACTCCTTAAGCGTATGGATGGATAAACTTCTGTTTCTGCTGTTTTGATTTCTAAGTCACTGAAGAATTCTAGATAACTGTGGATCAGCCACACAGGTCAGTTAATATAATTCCAATTAGTTGTTCTGCTCAAAATAGTTTTCTGTTATGCCCTAGAATATGGTCTCTTAAACTGTTGTCAGCTGTCTCATATGGTTTTAGCCCTGAGATTCTCTTTGCAAGATACCCTAGCAGTTTCTGGAGTTTCATCTGGTTTTTAAGTCCATTATCCTTACACTCTTTCTGTAACTTCCCTTCCTTACCTAAAAAGGTAAACCCACTTTCAATTTCTGTAGTAGCCTAAAATAAAATCTAAAATAACTGTTTCTCTATTAATATTCTCCATCTCTTAAAATGAAGGTCTATGCTGAACAAAGGATGCCTGTGAGTATCCTTTGAGTGTGTTCTGATTTTCTTTTCTAAAAGCAGAATATGTACTTCAAGTCTTGCTTGATCTGTTCTTTAAAAAATTCTTTTAATTCCTGCCGCCAAACAACCCTCAGCAATTAGCTTCTTTGCATGAGGGTGCCTGAAGTAGACCCTTTGTATCAGTATCCCTTTTCTTTATGTATTTTTACTGAGACATGCAACAGGCTTTCTGTTGACCAGATTTTTCTTGAATACTGAAGTACTACTTGCATTCTTGATGTATAGAGCAGTAACTTCTTTACTTTCTTCCTTGCTTTCCATTCTTGAACAAAACTTCTGTTGTAGTGCTTTGATTTATCCCACTAACTTTCTAAGCTGTGGTGGCAACCTCAGGTTCACCCAGTTACGCTCTGTAGTCCTTGGATCTTTGTGTAGACACACAATGTGTTTGCAAAGTTGCTTCATCGTTCTTGTTTTTGTCTCATGTTGTAGTTTGTCTTCCAGATTTCAATCATTTATGTAAGTTGAAGTTGAAAAATATTTTGGTTCCCCAGCTTTCCTAAGACTAGTTTATATTCCTCTTCTCTGATTTGGCAGTTCAGTGTTACCATGCTCTTCATTATATAGCCTCTGTCTCTTCTCAACCAGCTTCCTTTGCAGAATCTCATTTCCCCCTGATAACACCCTTTAGGCAGACATGGAATTACTGCCACTTCCTGTCTATCCCTGCTTGAGATGCTAGTCTAAACATCTGGTGAATACCTTTTGTGTCCACAGCTCCTTCATCATGGCTTTTGGAGCTGCCACTGAATCTTCTCAGAGTTTTAACTGGCAGCATCCTTAGTGTGTTCATATGGATGTAGTGGCACAGGGCAGTCTTTTAGAAAGCTAGATTAATGAAATAGTACCCAGTGGCAGTTAGAGCAGAGTTACTAACCATTGTTCTAAAGACTTGCAGGTACTGGTTGTTTTCTCAGATGCCAGTGACGAAGAAGCATTTTATGGAGAAGAGCTAATCTGTTTGGTCTAATTGAAATTTCTTTGGAAGCAGCAGCTGCATAAGAAATGCATCTGAACACAGTTCTTAAACCTTTTAATAAGTAACGAGTTTTAAGAAGTCTGAACCAAGTAACTGTTTTAGAATACTTAAGTTCATATATCATGTATATATTAAGCTCAAAAGAGGAATAACTGAATAACTTCTATGGCCTATGTAATGTGAACCCTCTTAGTCTCAAACTGTAGTAATATAAAACTTAGTGTTAAACACTGCCTTCAGTAATATTCCTGTAATTTCGTTAAAGCAAGTATGTGGAATGTCGTTCACTGCTAGCCTGGTATAAGTTACAGGATACCTATTCAGAATATTTTAGTTATAGGTTAAATGGGGGAATAAATGAATCATCTTCTCTTGATTTTAAGTTGTTCTCATTGTTCAAAAGGTGGAAGAAACCTCTAAAGTCCTCTTATCTCCCACATACTTTCTCTGGAGAAGTGTTTTGCTTCAAAATGCAAACTTCCCCATGCAGACATAGTCTTAATTAGGCTTATCTAGGAGAAGAATCCATGCTACATGCCTGCCAGTGGAGACTGCTGAGAAACCACCAGCTGGCTTTGAGGGAGATTATGAGGAAGCCTTAGGGCAATAAACAACAACTTGAACTTTAAAAGACTTCCTCATAATGTAGATGCTTTCATTAATGTCAGTGGGCTTTTAAACATTTTCTAGTTCAAGGAACATTACAATTCTGCTACAAAAGGAGTAGAATCTAAGCGGGAATCTCTGAGGCACAGTGCTTCTACTGCATGATGCCCACTCCCTCCTGTCCAGGTTGTGCCTTTAATACACAGTATAGTAATTAGCATTCAGCTCCTCCGTTTGCAGATCTTGGGACTTGGACTTCAACATGACTAATTTCCACCAGCAGAGAGTATGTTCAATGGTGCATTAGGTAAAATAAAAAGCAAAGCACTGAACAAACTCTGTATTGCATGCAGTAGAGCTCATAACTGCCTTTTACATCATACTGCGTTTTGTGGTTTTAAAGTCTCAGTCCATATATCAGGTGAACATTCTCCATTATGGGGGTATTCTTCTTTTTTACAGGTTATCACAATTGGTAAACATGTTAAAGGATACCATTATATCATTGCAAATCTGGTAAGCATTTTTAATATTTAAAATACCTGTATTACTCATTTTACTGTTTATGGAAGCACATCAACTAGCATTTTGTTTTAAATGCATTTTAGAAAATAGAAAAAAGCTAAATGTCTTTATCCTTGCTAAATGAATGCATGCGTTGAGATGGTATTTGGTTTATTGGCTGAGTCTTTTCAGGGCTTAAATGCCTCCTGTGATATTCCCATCAATGGGAGTAAAGGTTGCTCAGCACCTTCAGTAGGGCTTCATCCCTTTTTCTACATACTTTAGAAAAGTAGGGTATGGAAATCAGAAAAATTAACTTTCCACAATATAGGCTGATACATTCATTCAGCAAACTGATGTTTCTTCTTTCACCTCTAAAGTACTTAAAAATTATAGTTCTCAGCTTTCATTCTGCTAGACTAGTGAGTCTCAGCTTTACACATCTTCATTCCTCAGATTGGCTTGGTAATCAGTTTGAATTAATCTTTTCTTGAACACAGGTGATCAGACAGTATAGCTAATAGTGTTCCTAAGGGGGAAAGTTCAGGAAACTCACTAAATACTGTCAAGGTAATTTTTTTTGAAATTGCGTCTAAAGATGAAGGGCCATTTTACTGACATTAAGGTCAACAGCACTTATTTACTGAAGCCTAAGGAATCTAATCCAATGTTTTTTTGTAACAAATAAAGCAAATTTTGCAGGCTTGAATCTCAGTTATTCTGTTCCAGAAAAGAGTTTTGGGGTTTGCGTGGTGTGAGTGCCTCTAAATCAATTTTTTCTTCATTTATTCTTGGACTGTGATAACGTTTGATATAAATTCCAGCAGGGCCCAGAGTGCTCTAATTTACACTTTGTCTTCCATAGCCCTTTGAGGGGCCTGAGGAAACAGAACAACCATAGTGTGTCTGTCACACTTCAGACATAACCCCTGTCTCCTCCCAACCTTTGATCAAAACACTTCTCCTCTCCAGGCGGGCAGTACTCTGAAGAATCATGTATGTCGCTAGGCAGGTGCGAGGAAGCCTTATACTCTAAAGGCCTCTTTAAAAGCAGAACAGTGGGGTTTCATGTTTATATTTATTAACTAATTTTTAGGATAAAGAAGTTAGGGTACTGATATTCACAAGCATAAAAGTCTTACAAAACTTGAAAAATTCCCTAACTGTTAGATATTTGTATTTTGCATTGCAAATGTTGTACAAATAGTATTTTGAGTCTTAAGGGAAATAAAGATTTTAGAAAAATCGCCTAGTGTATTTCATTATGTTGACTGGTTGCTATTTTAGCCATTGCTTTAAGTTTGTAACAGTAAGCCCATAAGATCTAAAACTTATTGAATCTTGTATTTTAAAGCTGTTTAATATCATATTTACTTCCTACAGATTTATGCAGTTTAAATGCAAATATTGTAGATCTTTTGTATAATATCATATAAAATATATATGGTAATGATTTTAAAACTGTGTTTTTCTCTGTCAGAAGGAAAACTTACCTAGTACTTGATCATATCCCATCTTCTTGCTTCTTTTCTTGACTGTAATGTTCTCCTCCAGTCTGATCAGTCAAGAAATTGATCTATTTTAAGAATAAAACAGGCTGATGATTGGAGAAGGGGTCAAAGTATACAATGAATGTTCCTGTTCAAACTTCAAGCTCACAATAATATTGAAGAAAGTTTCATGATCCCTGTAGAAGTATCTGTATTAGCATGCAGCAACACATCATTGATGAGTATCATTAATATGCAATAATTAAAAAGCACCTATTACAGCAATTGTAGCAACTTCTGATAACATGGTCTGAGGTTGCTACTTCTTTTTTTTGTTTACTCAGAACTTTCATTTAAACTGGAAGTGTCTGAAATCAGTATTTCCTGTAAATTCATTTGTATAGTTATTTGGGGCAAGTTAAAGCACAGAACATGGAAAACAAAGCATATGTACTGTTTGTAAGAATGAGAAGTAGTTCTTTATACCGGAGGGAGGAGGCAGGGGAGATGGTAAGTCCTTCCACATGCTTTAGTGTTCCTAGCAAAGAGAGGACTCAACTGTGGCTGTAACTATTCCTGCCTAAAACTTGCTTGCCTGTTATTCATGTCAGTGTTCCGTTTCTTATTTAAACAGTCCCACTGAAATTAACAGGATTGTTTAGGAAAGTTAGCATGGCATGGACAGGTCCACTCAGCCCTTGCTCTATAAAGGTGTATGTCTAGTGAGCAACAAGAGGCATTGCTGGCTGGCGGAGCTGATGACTTAATCCTGTCAGCCCAGGATTTAAACTTGGATCCTGTTTGAGGAAAATGTTGGCTTACACTTCTGCAGTAGAAGTCATATGGTAACTCTTTATTTGTATATACTATTGAGAGATCTGCCAAAACTGTTGGAATAACAGACATAATGTTTCCTGTGCCCAGGGATTTACTGATGGAGATTTGTCAAAAATTCAGTTTGGAGGAGCTAACGTCTCAGGATTTCAGATAGTTGACTATGATGATCCTCTGGTGTCAAAATTTATACAACGTTGGTCAACACTGGAGGAAAAAGAATATCCCGGTGCACACACTAGTACAATTAAGGTATGTCTTACATTTGTTTTAACCATGACAGATGTAGAGGAAGTGAGGGAATTGGAATAGAAAGACAAGAGACAGAGAAAGCCCTTCAAAATCAACTGTGCTAACACAATTTTATATTTCTCTGGGGTACTTTTAACATTCTCTATCATAGGACTGGTTGAGCAAAGACACTGCAATGTCAAAAATGTTCCAAGACACCTTTAAGTTTTCTTGTGTCACTGTAAATCTGCACCTGACAACTTGTTAGGTAATTGTTTTGGATGTGATGGTACATTAAATATCTACTGACTTTTTTGGTTTTTCTCTTTCTCTGTGTTTTGAAATGTTTTAAAGGCAAATATGTAATCATACATAGGCTTCCAGGGAGCACAGATCTAGCACTTTCTGATATAACAAAATCTCCCAAAGAAATGGTAAGACACTTGCTTTGAGACAGATGCCTAAATCCTATGAAGACTTTTAAAATTAAATGGTATGCCTGAGGTACAGAATCATGGTCTGATTTCAGGCCTGAGTGACACAAGATGTGACACTGGGCAAGTGGTTAAACTCCTTACCTCAGTTTTCCCTCTGGATAAAACTGGGATAATAGTACCCTCTTACCTTATGTGACCGTTATGAGGATCAGTTAGTGCTTGCAAGATGTTAAAAAGAATAACACAATTTTAATGCTAAATAATTTTTCTTTTAAGTAATACAATCAGAAATTTTATTAAGAATTAGTATACTTTAAATAACTCTAAAATGTATTAAGACAAAAAGATAAATGGCAAATATTCTAGGCATAATTTTTTTTTTGTGCTATAGTTTGAATATGAAGCATATTCTTGATTTATAATGAAAAAGATAAGAAGTTTCAGCAAGGAATAGAAAAACCATTTTTTAAATTCCTGGAACAAAAATCCTTTAAAGCACACACCCTTAATTTAAATTGAAAAATAAAGTTATTTGCGGGGGACTTAGTCAAAGCTATGATTTTTCTGTGGTTATTTTTGTATTTTAAAATCTTTATGACAGAATAAGTGACTTTTTCATTTGATGTTTGACAAAATAAACTGGTGTGTCACGCCTTTAGATACATTCACATTACATATGTGTAATATATGTAATATATATTGCTTTCATTTAGGAAAAAGGGAAGGGATGTGCCTGTGGGTGTTTAATACAATTCTTTTGTCTCTGATTTGTGAGTGCCCAAATCTACCTACCTACCTACTAATGCTGTGGAATCGTAGTCTGGAAATAATTAGTGAAATGCATGACTAAAGTAAAAAAGTCTAACGGAAACCAAGATGAAGTTTTTCTTGTTGATGGAAAAATAAATCGGTGGGACACAGTGCTAAGGATTCTGGTACCTCTGATATTACTTACAGTAAGGGGGAAATTGCATGTGTGTTACATAAGATAAAGCGGTTGCAATGTTCTGTTACAGCATTAAAATCTGTAACTTTATCACAGGTATTCCCTTTATTTCTTCCATGATAGGTCCTTTCAAGTCTACTAGAAATTGAAAGGGTTGAAGGAGGGTATTTGGAATATCTTATGTTTTTAAGGTTTACTTTGTTATGGATAGGAAAAATAAATTAATTTTAACATTTATTTTCATTAATTTCATTAACTTAAATTTTAAATTCAGTTGAAAAGGCTGATCTGTCTTTATACAATGTCTGCTCAAGGAATATATAGGATCGCACTGATAGTCAAGAGACTGAGACTTACGTTAAATTATCAGATAATTTATGAACGCTAGAGGTATTGATGGGGAGGAAAAAGTGGATGTATGTTGCAATGTTTGGAGAGATTGATTATATCAGTTACTGTATTTCTTTGTGTAGCTTTCTATCTTTTGCCCTTATACACATATTACTTGTCATTTTTGCTTGCCATTAAATGTAAGGACAGAGCTATGTCACATTTCATTCCCATTCTTGAGGGAGCCAGAGGCAGAGCAGAATCATAGAAATCACAGAAACAAGGCAAGAAAGGTCTTTGAGCAGTCAGTCACCCGGTCCATTCTCCCTGCCTGAAGGCAGAATCAGCTATACCTGTGCGGTTCCTGTGGACACTGATTTCACAACTTCCCCAAGTGTTCTATTGCAGAGCTTAAAAGTCTTATTTTTTGGTTTTTGTCTAACCTAATTCAGCCTTTATATCACCTAATCCATTACTCCTTTATCTGTTTCTAATACATATGAGGAAGTTCTGTTTAGCTGTCTTTCTATATTTGAAGATGGCTGCCATATTTGTCCTTGCTTTCCTCCCTGCTAAACTAAATAATCCCTTTTCCTTTGAATTTTCTACTCTCAGATCCTGTTCATTTTGCTCTGGAACCTTTCTAATTGGTACCCATCTTCTTTGAAATGCCAGACTGGGTACTGCACCGCATCTGAGGGCAGTGCTGTAGAAATCGAAATAATGGCTTCATGTATCTCAGAGACAGTACTCCTTTCAAGGCTTCCTTTTGTGCTACTGATTTTTTTTTCTTCTCCCCCCCCCCCCCCCCCCCCCCCATCATCACACTGTTGAAATATGTTTATCATGAGCATGAGACTAACATCCAGATCTTTTTCTGCATAGCTTTTCTGTACTGCTGCCAGTTTAGATGGTCTCATACCAGATCTGTGCACTTGATCATTCCTTTAAAGTACAGGATTTTTCATCTATTCTTGTTGAATTGCATTCCCTACCTGTCCTTCCTGAACATGCCATTCCTTCTTATATTAATAATCTGGCCGTGTTTGTTATCCTTTGCTTCTTGGAATAGTGTATGAGCATCTAAGTTACTGAGCAGGTTAGCTCACTGGTCTCCTATTTGTCCCTTCCATGATCTTATGAACAACATTTCTCCCCTTTTGGTTTTGAGGCAGTTGTCCAAATTGTCAGTGGTTATAAATGAGCTTTTGCCACTAGTTCCCATGGAATCTAGGAAGCTGTCACTGCAAATTCTGTATGAAACAGATAGGAAGGCTAATGAAAGTCCTGTATTCTCAATACAGAAATGAGAGGAGGTTACATGCCCCTAGCAGATAATGTTATCCCTGGGATTGCAAATGTTATCTCATTGCAGGCAAGAGTATTGCAACTGTGTTGTATTATCTTCCTTTTATAATCCAAAAGGAAGTATACATTCATTTTACATTATAAAATGCAAGGCAATGGAATATGACTGAGCTGACATGACAAGACATATCACAGCATCCAAGTACAGTCCTGAAAATGGAGAAAGACACCTTTTTCTAAGAAAAAGTGCATTTCAAAGGAACGTGCTTTTCAAGAAAGAAAAACATTGTTGAAAACCTGTTCCACAGATGCCCAGAAGAGGACCTGGATCAAATTGCTTTAAAAATGTATAGTCACAATTTATAAAATACTAATTCTAAGCAACTGCAGTCTTAGGACATGGATGAGAAGAGACACTGGTTTTATTTGTTGCTGCACTGTACCTGTACTAATAAAAAACACTTAAAAGATTTAAAGATTATGCAGAACACTTAAAACTAGTGCTTTGCCTCCTTTTTACAAAAGGTCTTCTCATCTTTCAAAAGTAAAGCCGATATACTGTTTCCCTCAGATTAAATTTAAAATATCTGTCGTAACTGAGGGTGTTATCGGTCTCTGCATTGCAATTCTAGAAGAGCTAATAATGTGTAATATGTGAAACATACCACTGAGCATCTTGGCGAATTTCTTTGTCAAGTAACAAAACAAAAGCCATATTTAATTTTATAAAGGCCTAATAATAAGTTGAAATCCCCTTTTGATCCATTATTGTGTATTTACAAATATGCTGGGCTTTCTGAGCCATAGTGTTGTGTCAGGCTATTATGTCTAAGGCAAACCTCTTGCTGTTGTGGAAGGACGCTGAAGGACAACACATCCATTCGCATCCAACTGCTCCGACTTCCTAATCTGATTAACCCATTCTGTTTGGGGGCAGCCTTTGGTCTAATTCCAGGAGGAAGCTCAATCCGTACCTCTTGAAGGCTAGTGAGACATGATGAGTACTAAGCTTAAAGTATACAAGTATAAATGGGGAGAGGAGTGGCTGGAGAGCAGCCCTGCAGAAAGGGATCTGGGGGTGTTGGTTGACAGGAGGCTCAATACGAGTCAGCAGTGTGCCCTGGCAGCCAAGAGGGCAAACCGCATCCTGGGGTGCATCAAACACGGTATAACCAGCCGGTCAAAAGAGGTGATCATCCCGCTGTATTCAGCACTGGTGTGGCCTCATCATGAGTACTGTGTGCGGTTCTGGGCCCCACAATTTAAGAAGGATGAGAAGGTCCTTGAATGTGTCCAGAGGAGGGCAACAAAGCTGGTGAAAGGGCTGGAAGGCATGTCCTTTGAGGAGCAGCTAAGGACTTTGGGCTTGTCTAGTTTGGGGAAAAGGAGGCTGAGGGGCGACCTCATTGCTCTCTACAGCTTCCTGAGGAAGGGAAGTGGAGAGGGAGGTGCCGATCTCTTCTCCCTGGTATCCAGTGATAGGACACGTGGGAATGGTTCAAAGCTGCGCCAGGGGAGGTTTAGACTGGACATTAGGAAGCATTTCTTTACCTAGAGGGTGGTCAAACACTGGAACAGGCTTCCTCAAGAGGTGGTCAATGCCCTAAGCCTGCCAGTGTGTAAGAGGCATTTGGACAATGACCTTAACAACATGCTTTAGCTTTTGCGCTCTCTCTCTCTCTCTCTCTCTCTCTCAAAAACAATGCATAGCTAAGATAAAAAAATGATAGATTGTTTTAGCCTTCTGATTTTGCCTTTAGGAGTTTCACATTTTCAAGTCTCTTTTTTATAGCCAAGTCATCTAGTCTTTTAGAAAATTATTAAGAAATCTATTTTTTTCAAAGATAATGTGATTCTAGAATTTGAAGTGTTTGTATAGTACCAAACAGTGTGCTCTTTATGATAAAATTGCAAAAGTTGAAAACTGCCAATCTTAAACTGTAAGTCAGGAAGAATGAAGCTTGCAATTTAAAGCTGCTGGTTTAACTCTACTGGTGCTG